TAAATTCAAGCTGAAAATCTCTTTATCTTTATACAAAATATATATATATGTGTGTGTGTGTGTGTGTCTAAGATATATTTGAACTATTTTCGACACGTATATTTCTTTTTAAAAGAAATCAATTTTCTACTGCCCTTACTGCAATGATAAATAATGGAAGGGCCTGGCTCATCAGTGGTGAACATCATATGCGTCAAAAATAGGTCAAATTTCTTATACCAGATGGCGCGCTAATGTGTCACATTGATATATATACGTGTATGATGTTATTTCATTGAATGTACGCGCTGCTAACGAAAAGAAAAATAATACAAAGCGAGGAGGATATGCTGACAGATTTATGCTTCAGATTCTAGATGTAAATTCTGTTTTAATTAGGTATTGTAATTGCGTAAATGCAGTGAAATTTATTATTCTATACTCATGGACACAAGGAATTTTTACAATTTTGTATGTATATCAGGACAATAAATCTGAAAGGTATTTAATACATAGTAGTCTTTATTGTAGACATACGAGATAACCAAGTATGAACATAATTGCCTCTGTCATATTCTTCTTCTTCAAAAAAAAAAAAAAGACGACCGGCCATATCAAAGATTTTCAACTTTTGTCTATGAGTGTGCTGAGTGCTAATAATTTTAGTATGTTTGTCGATAAATAGATTCAATACACAATTTAGAAACCGAAGATAATAATACGATACCCATGTATAAAAAACCTCACTTAAAGTCGCCCAGTAATTCAAACTCCGATTTAATGATTTAAAATATAAAATGTGCTGCCAAATAGGTACCCAAAATGATGGATATTTCAGTCGCTCCAGGATGTGTTCGCAAGTTGAAGGTATGTGAGGTGGAGTCACGTGAATTTTTAAGCAAGCGGATCTTCTTCAAAATTTGTCGTTAACGAAGTCAAATTAATGCTAACTCTTTCGAAATTAATTCTGACTCTTTATGCATATCCATATAAATCTAATATTATTCAAAACCGTTTAACTGCAGTTAAAACCTTGCGAAAGGATGTTTAAATAAAATCAAATCCGATCACAGGTGGTCCTTCTCTGGCGGTTAAAACTCAGATGAATATTTTGTTTTTATTTTACGTGGTCTCTCTGGGAGATATGTCGCTCACTGAGGTTAGATAGCTCTTAATTCCTTCACACCCACTCATTACGTGAGATCAATAAAATCAAAATATATTATATACATCAGGAGTATAAATCGCAGAAAGGTAAATCGCGGCTTGTTAGTCGCAGCTGAAAATTGGATTTAGGAACAAACCATCCCCTGCTCTTGGAGCCTTTGGCGGGATTTTACTTTATTTTACTTACCACCTGAAGGAATATAATATATCATTGGCAGGCAGGGCAGTGCAGTACCTTCCATGCAACTTCTATAGATCAACACACAATTAACGACTGAGGCACGAACAGACAGAAAATAGGGACTATGAAAATATCGTGAGCCATTATATAAAGGTTTTGCTAATTAATATTTACATATGAATTTGAAAATTATGATTACAGTTTAAAAATTCCCGGACAATAGTATAAATCCTGGGAGAGAATGCTTTAAATGTTCTATCTAAAAGAGCACAAATTAACGTGGTCAATGGAATTGTTGGGATTGTCCAACAATCACCACTCGAGGTTTAGCAAAGTATCTGTCATCATCAAAAAGAAACGTTGTCGGTTTTCTACTGACATCTATCCAATTACATTTCATCTAAACGTCGATGGTGTTAATGTCCGAGTATTGGCCTGAACAATTTAATAAATAAAAAGGAAAGGCAACCTGATTAGCGTTTTAGATATAGGCCCCCGCTAGCGTGGTGTAAGAGTGTAGCTCAACTAAAGGTTGTTTCCAGCTGTTTTATACAAGTCCTTGCCAATATGGTGTTGAAGATATTCCTTATAACACATCGGGTCTCCTCCTTTTGTTATTTCGAACGCTATAAATACAGAATATCCCGCTATATTTGCCATTAAAGCTGTTGTGCTTACGATCATGAGCTAAAACTGTCTATTACAACATATAGAGCACAACCGTTACACAGCATGCTTTCAGAGCTATCTAGGTGAAACCCAGGCCAATATAATTGAAAGGCTCTGCATCCAAAAAATTGAATAGGATATTTTGACTGCTTCTGATTGATTCTTGTTCATTTAAAAACAGGGCAAATCTCTAAATATAATTCCATTATGTAAGGTCTTATTGCTAAAACCGTGAAAAGTAAGCAATGGGAAATGTTAGACATATGCGTGCATGCGCATGGCATGATTACAGTAATGTAGTCGACCGGTGAGTGTGTACCAGTGCTTTATTTCTGTATTATGGCTTGAATAGATCGTTTTATTTTTTCAGAAAACTTTTTTCGTAGTAAATACACTGTTTAAAGTATATGTCATTTTGAGAAACAATATTTTTATTATTTAAATTGAAATTTGGAGAGACAAACCATAGACTCCTCACAAGGTGTTTACAAGATGTAAGGAAGATCTCATTTGGCATACATATGATGTGGAGTGAAGAAAAAACCCACACCGCTAATTGCTATTTTTGTTCAGTATATGTATGAGATGATCTATTACTCAAAATGAAAATAACACATTTAAACCAAACAGCATATAGTTTGAATATTAATAACTTTAGATAGAAATTCACTCAGATAAACCTGGGCATTGACCTATACATTTGGCTAGTTATGCACATTTTGGTCTAGTTGGTTCATGGTTCTATGGTTCTATTAATTGAATTGTCATCGTGGGTGAGAAAGTTGAAAAAAAATCTGACCTTTTTGGATGAGGTATCAAAGGGTGAATTATGAAGAGTAATGATGAACGGAAAAAAATGTCCAGAGATGGGAATCGAACCCACAATGTTCCGCTTACCGGGCAGATGCCATGTCCACTAGGCTACCCTGGACGTATTTTTCCGTTTTTAATAATACATAAAGTAACTTATAATACAATATAATGCAATGCGGCCTGTGATTGTAAAACGACACTAGAAGTTACACCGCATGAGTTTCTTTTCAACGAAATATCTAGTGTCTTCCAGTGTCGTTTTACAATCACAGGCCGCAGTGCATTATATTGTATTATAAGTTACTTTATGTATTATTTAAGAACGGGAAAATACGTCCAGGTTAGCCTAGTGGACATGGCATCTGCCCGGTAAATAGAACATTGTGGGTTCGATTCCCATCCCTGGATACTTTTATTTTTCCGTTCATCATTACTCTTCATAATTCACCCTTTCATACCTCATCCAAAAGGGTTAGAAATAGTCAATATTTCACCTTGAAATAAATTTAGATTTTTCGTTGAAAAGAAACTCATGCGGTGTAACTTCTAGTGTCGTTTTACAATCACAGGCCGCATTGCATTATTTTGTATTATAAGTTACTTTATGTATCATTTACGAAAGGAAAAAAACGTCCAGGGTAGCCTAGTGGACATGGCATCTGCCCGGTAAGCGGAACATTGAGGGTTCGATTCCCATCTCTGGACACTTTTGTTTTTCCGTTCATCATTACTCTTCATAATTCACCCTTTCATACCTCATCCAAAAATGTTAGAAATAGTCAATATTTCACCTTGAAATAAATTTAGATTTTTCGTTGAAAAGAAACTCATGCGGTGTAACTTCTAGTTTCGTTTTACAATCACAGGCCGCATTGCATTATATTGAGAAAACGTATAAGGAACAAATAAGTGTAAATATGTAACTATGTATCTATATATAGAGAGAGAGATTTGCTAAAACTATTCTTGCGGCTAAATCTTTATGACCGCCATTACGTTTTATACTGAAGCGATAAAGAAATTCATTTTAAAAAGGAAGAGGTGCCACTTATAGTACATATACAACTATACTAATATAAAAGCTTGGAGCATCAAAAACAAATCAAAACAATACATTTAATATTTGATGCCATCTATGTTCAATTTTACATTACTACGTACTTGTTTAATAAATACATGTAAAGTTTTTATATTATTATTTAATTTGATATGATTCTCTCTTATACGTATTCAAAACATACTCTCCCTCTCTTAGTTAACAAAAATTCATTTTGAAGAAATAATTGTATTTTAGGTGTATATTTAATGCGAAAACTTGTAGGAACACCATATTTACAGCCTAGAGTTTTACCGTCGGTAGATATTTCGTTGATTTAGGCACTACAATCTACAACAGATACTTTCAGTCGCTGCAATTAATGGTGGAGTTTTGAGATGTCCTATGCCTTACATTTTTATTCCAGAAAACGCACTATACATCAAGTTAATAAACAGATAAACACGAATTACTGCCATATAGATCATTATTCAAACCATTAAAGAAGAATAAATGATAAAAAAAAATTACCCTAACGAAATATTTAATAATAAATTTATTTATATAGTTGAGAATAGAATCTATGCGGATGGACACCGCTCTACAAATGACAGTTTTAATCGACAAAATTGCCACTTTAACAAATTAGCTGCTCTCCGGTAAGAGTACACTTCTCCACAAAGAACACGTTGTCTTTTCAACTAAGTGTTGTCCTTTAGATAGAGATTCGGCTGTATCAGCTTGATTTATTTGCAGAAGAGTAAATCTCGGAACGTGTATTCCAATATTTCAATTGGACATGTATTTAGCGTATACGACGAGAGAGTCAAATTGCCACAAAATATCACGTCGCTAATATATTTCCATTCTTGAGTTAAAAGCTCTCGGGGATCCCTCCGTGACGTAATGAAAATGGGGGGAAGGGTTAGTAGTTGGAGATGGAAATTTGACTCGCAATCTTCCACGTGATCTCCTCTCTACTCCCCGAAAGTTTGTACGGCTTAGAAGTCGATATATCAGCGTCGTGATATTAATGTTGTAAGTGTGGTATTCATATTTATGTTGACATCATATTTTGAGTCATATATATTAATATGCAGAAAAAAATAAAAAATAAAAAGGAAAAGGTCAGGTGTTTGTTGTTTTATTTTTTATCAATTTTTTACATGTTCAGCGTATTTACGCAAGTTTGGCCGTAAATAACCATTTCTTGATTTCTCGGGAAGCCTATGGGACCAAAATAATTTTGGTCGTAGAGGTACAGTCTGCACCACGCTGTCGAGGGCCAACAGTCCGAAACGCGTTCTTGGTTGACTTTTCTTGATTTATCAAGAAAACGGGTGGGCCAAATATCAGGTAACAGGTTAAATCAACGTTTAGTTGATTTCTGTTTAACCAGATAGCGCTCTGCCATCAAAAGGTTCGTGTGAACGCGGTCAAGATATGCCTTTTTGATTTTAATATATATTGGTGAATATGCTCTTCCCAAGAATTCTCCGCCAGTATTCTCTGTCGGATTATCAGCCCTCTACAAAAGCGCAACTGTCTGGTTACAAGGACAACTGGTTAGCCAGGTACTTCACTCACACAAATATTTCCTCCGTGTCGCAATAATTCAATGCTGAAGTTTTAATTAAATTAAAATGAAAATCTATCGATGATAATATTTAGGGATAAATGTTGCAGGAGGGTGGATTATATGAGATGAAGAATATTCCATAAAAAAAAGTTCGTTATTTTAATTCATTTTAACGGGAGATCTTCTTTTGGTACATATATATATATATGTTAAAATAAGAAAAATAACATAGAAAAAAGGTCAGGTATTGGTATTAAAAACAAAAAAGGCATATCCTGACCGCTCACTTGAGTATTTTATATCTTTCTATTCATATGTAAATATTAAAAATAAAAAGGCATATCCTGACCAGGAGCACATGTGCTTTACAGATGGTAGAGTGCCATCTGGTGGAACAGAAATCAACTAAACATTGATTTAGCCTGTTCCCTGATATTTGGAGCACATGTGCTCCTGGTCAGGATATGCCTTTTTTTAATAACAACACCTAACCTTTCTATTATTTTTTCTCATATTTTTTCATATGTAAATATATAAACTTTATTTTCTTCTTTACGCCTCAAATTAGGTATTTCATCCTTAATTATGTTCATCAGACCGCACACATTTAAAGTAAATTGTGATTCTTTATTATATTATATTTTTTTACCACGACCGCAAGCAATATCACAAACATACTCATATATCCATAAACAACCTAAGATAATTCTATATCAAACAAATTTATCAAAACATATATATATATATATATTTCTGAAAATAGAGCAATCCATATTTAAATCATCTTTTATTATATTCAATATTTTTTTAAATCTAATATATATTTACACATTTGTATTACAAAACGAATTAATATTGAAGATAGAATAGTTTGATTTAAATATTATGTGACCTCTTAATAGTATAATCCATATATATAGTTTGGGAAATAGCAATTTAAAAAATTAATCCTGGGCATACTCATACTTTCTACATCGAGTGAAATTAACATTGTTGTTGCAATGAAAATAATCAAGAGAACTAAATACCTGGTCAGAAATGTCATAAATAGGTCCATATCACAGAATATCTCTATGTATATATATATATTCCTGCTATCCTTACCGCGATAAAAAAAAATTGGGATAGCCTGGCTCATCAGTGGTAAACCCTCCAAGCGGTTTCGCCAGTTTAATCATCGACCTCTTATTGGACTTCTACTATTGTATTGTAGAATTCTGTGTTTATATCCGACACTGAATCTTGATCGTAGTATTTAATCAAGCTACGGATTTAGGCGCTTTGAGGACAGCAGATTTATGTGTAAACATTTACATTGAGCCATTAACTTCCAAAACACTTCAGGAAAATCCAGTTTAGAAATAAATAAAACATAAGACAGAACGATATATAAAATTATATGCACACAGAGTACTCTTCCGGTTCATTAAGTAAATAGTGAAATCAGACAAAATAAGTGAAACTAGAGGATTGGTGGTCAGCCTTCTTTCCTTTAAGGGGGCAGTATTGTTAGTCCTTCTAATGGCATCGCTGGAAAGTCCAATCTGACCTTCTCTCGGTAGTTTCTACTGAATGAGTGACGTGAGGCAATTGGGTGGAAAATGAACAAACCCAATAATGGCAGTTAGGAATATTTGATCACATCATGTTCCTCTGTGTGATTTATGAGGAACAGAATGAAAACCCAGGACTCTAGTTTTTATTTGGATTATTGTCGCAGGCTTGGTCCTGTTCTCGAAGATATTTTGGGAGAAAATTCAAGCTATAACTAATAGATCAAAATCATCATATGATTTTAGCATAGTATTTTTATTAAGCCTCATCAAATAATGATGATTTAACTCCCGACGTTTCAATGACCTGCTGTCATTCTCCTCAGGGGAAAGTTTTCTGAATCAACTTCCAACCAACAAATGATATTCTGAAATATTTATTAAGATGACGACTCCATTATTATGTGTTTTAAAATTATTATTTTTTTTGTATTTTTAGGATAAGTAATTTGCATTTTTCTGATATTATAGTTCATTGTTTGTGTTAGATCGTATTGTAAAAGAAACTAGATCAGAATGAAAGCTGCTCATACATATTCATATAGAGATCGAAATTGTGTTTGTCTGTGTGTTCCGCGTATATGTTTTCACAATACTTGACCTACCCGGATGTAACTTGTATACGATATAGAGATAGGTCTGAAAGGAGTCACTGTCATATTTACTCAATGAAATATGCTAATTTATCCAATAATAGACAAATATGTATACTTCCTTTAGAACGTAAATAAAATACGCAGCAGTTTCTGTCGCGTTATTTGGCGATAGTATTCTCGGATGGAGACATCACAATAAAAATATTTTTAAGGCAATTCAAAATCCTATCTTTACCTATTTCAAAAAGCTTGATTATAGAAAAATATATTCATATATGACAAGGAGAGAGTCGAAACTTTCATAAATTATTTTAGATAGTCAAGGGATGATATTTAATGTTAGATATCAAACAGTTTACTATCTCCAAAATTTATTTGTGTTTTACACCAAGAAAGTTTAGTATTAGTATTTATCAGGTTTTATCATTCTATGCTAAAGGAAGCTCTATTATCTTAATTATTATCAAATAAATGAGCAGTATCCTCACTACACTAATAATACTAAGGCATAATATAAACATATTTTTGATATTAATGCAATTTTATATTTCATCAGCATTAACAACAATTGGGAGGGTTTTCTAACAATGATAATTGTTACAGATATTTCTCTCTGTTTTCTATATAATTAAATACGAGATTTCT